CCATTCATTCGCTCAGTAAAAGATGAAAACGCAGGAACGTGGTCCTGGGTTGCTGACCTTGACGTGGACACATCTAGGCTCATCCCTCTAGACGATTTCGATTCTGTGGAACAGTTTTTGGACACTCCAGAATCCGCAATCCCTGCAGAAATTGGCGTTGGTCAATTGCAGCTTCAGCCCTCAGATTGCTTCCTCAAGAATGACACTTTGGTAAGTTGCTACTACGCTGCGCAGCGCCCCGGAGTGGTGCGTATATCCACGAGTGTCCTTCAACAGCACTTATTGAGAAGCTCTATCCCAGGTGTTTGCAGTACGTCATGATGCTAAGAGTACTTTTGGTAATGAAAAGACGAAGCTTTTTGGAGCTTTCGGTACCAAGGAAGAGGCTCAACAGGATGCGATGAAGAAAGCATCTTTCAAACGGCTGCTTCTGAATCAGTGTCAGGAAGAGTTTGAGCGAAATGTTCGTAGCTCGGGTGGTGCGGCGGCTCTCGAAGCCGCAGCTCGTGAGGCAAAGGAGAAAGCGAAAGAGGACGTCGTCGAAGCGATCCGCCTTGCTGCTGAACAAGGTGTACCTCCGATAGAAACACCTGATGAACTCGAACTTGAAGTGTGGGTTATGAAACTCAAGCGACGGATGTTGGGCAACGTGAAATTCATTGGTGAACTCTTCAAGCAGCAACTTCTCAAAGAGAAAATCATGCATGAGTGTGTCAAGCTGCTCTTGGGGTCGGTCGATGACCCGAGCACAGTGCCTGATGATGAATCCATCGAAGCCGCTGCGAAGCTTTTCCTCACCATTGGAAAACAGCTTGAATCTCCTGCTGCATCAAGAGCAAAGCTTGATACGTCGAACGTGGCGCCCCATTTAACGCACCAGGTCGGTGTGAGTTTCGACGTCACAGGTATTGCAAGCGATTGAGTATTTTGTCTCATGACCAAAAAAGGCTTGCTGCGCGCACTCGATTCATGATCCAAGACCTCCTTGAATGTCGCAAGAATGGTTGGAAGGAGCGACACGCCAAGGATGGGCCCCATAAGCTCGGCACCTCGAAGAATAATGCAGCAGCACAACACCAAGTCAAGAATGACACTCAATACCGACGCGATCAGGAGCGAAATATGGCTCGGGAGCGACAACGCCAGGTTGTCCAGCACCATCAACATAACCAGGGGCATCGAACACCTAGTACAATCAACACTTCGCAAGATGCACGCCAGACGCGACACACCCCGCCATCAACTGTGCGCATCCTTGCCCGTGACCAATCCTCGCAGACGGCTACCAAGATTGGCGGTGGTATCAAAAACAAGGACTCTGTGACACATTTATCCTGGACCGATGAACGAGTTAAAAATCGTGCCCGGTCTGCACTCGACGAACATGCTGAGCTTGGTGATGCTGATGAGCTCATTGCCTCCCTTGATGAGGTCCCCCAATCTAACAGAGGATACAAACAGGCCTTCGAGCTTGCTGTTGGACGCATAGTTGAAGGCAAAGACGTAGAACGAACGACGGCTCTCGAAGCGGTGCGCGCTCTTGTCGTCAAAACACGACTGAAACCAAATGACGTCACTGAAGCTCTTCTTGAGACCCTCGAGTTCCTACCTGATATTGCTATTGATTCACCCAAGGCCGTGAACCACGCAAACTTGCAGTGTTTGCACCTAATGACCTTAATGTCTTGCAGACAAATTTAATTTGCCTCAGGTGTCTGAGCTTCTAGCTACTCTTCTGAAGTTGCACTTGTTGGACTGCGACTGGCTAACACAAGACTTGGGCAGAAAGATAGGCGACCCGGCTAATCATCATGTGCCAGAGCGAACAGCGCTCTTCGGCCAACTTGCATCACACTTCTCCAGCGACTCCGAATTTTCCCAGCTCGAGGATCATTTCAAGCAATTTGCGTAAATTGTCGGATCTACCATTGTATTAAGTTAGGAACTTCACGAGTAAGGCTGTATCCAAGTATATTCAGATGAGTTTGGCGCGGCGGAATGGCATCGTCGAATAACAACCCCCAGCTGCTTTTTTAGGGTTTCGGTCCATAGTAGCCTTCCGGATTTAGCCGCTAGTGTGAAAAGGCTTCATGCCGAGCCCTGGAGCACCTGCGCGCTCTGTCACGTTCGATCTCCGAGCTGGCTAAAGGTAGCAAGGAGCATGGGAAGAGGAAGGCACAGCTGCGTCTGGGATCAAGCATCGGTGCTTAGCGAGCCCCGAGTCCCCCCAGGCCCCCGCCCCTTCGGCACGCGGGATGCTGACAACCCCGGGTACTGGCCAGGCAGCCCCCCGCCCCC